AACCGTGCCAGGCCTTTACGGCGTGCTGTCTAAGTCTGGGACGGTAACCCTGAGGCGGCTGGTGGAGGTGGCTGGACCTGATTTTTCTCACGTCCAGGAAGTTGGCTTGCAGCTTGGGGTCCGGTCCGCCAGGCTGGTGCAGCGCTTCCTGGAGCGGGTGAAAGAAAGACTGACGGCTGGGGAGAGGCGACTCCTGAACTCACACGCCACAAAGGAGTGCCTGCCCGACCCAAACGACCCGTTCCCGGACGTGTTGCTGAGCCCGGGATTTGAGAAAGACAGTGGCCCCCTGCTGCAAAGCCCAGTCTCAGGGATGGACTTGGGCAGGACAAACCCGAAAGTATTGTACGCATACGCTGCAAAAGTTTTAAACAAGAGAACACTGCACAATAGAGCTGTCAGCATTTGGAGCGACAGATGGAGAGGACAGGAACCGCAGTGGAGGACATTATACAAGCCTCCAATAAAAAAACGGACTGGCGACCTACAGTGGCGGATTCTCCACGGTGCCATCGCCACAAACTCGTTTTTATCGATCATCAGTCCCGGGGTTTTGAACGAATGTCCTTTTTGCGGGTTGCCCGAGACTGTCTTTCATATGTTTACAGACTGTGTACGGTTAGCTAGTTTTGTTAAATTTTTGGCCAACTTTTTTAACCTTTTTGGCATGGTTTTTACCAATTCTGTTTTTATCAACGGTGTTCATCACAGTCGAACCACTAGTTTTAAATCCCGCCTTTTAAATTATCTAATAGCTGAGGCCAAAATGGCTATTTACATAAGTCGAAGGGACAAAATGGAGGCTGGACCTCAACTCGACGCGGTGGCTCTGTGGAAGGTCAATATCAAGGCCAGGTTGAGACTGGAGTTTTGTTTCCACAGAGCCACCGGGAATCTGAAGGCTTTTTTAGAACTGTGGGGTTTTAATAATGTATTGTGCACCGTTCGTGATCAGGGAGACCTAAGATATAATAAGCTACTAGTGTAAATATTTATTGCGTTGTTTAGCGTTCTCTGAACTGATTATGTACCGTTTTCTATGTTTAAATTATTGAGTAATAAATGATTTTCTAAAAATCAAAAAAAAAAAAATCTTCTTCTTCTTCTTCTTCTTCTTCTTCTTCTTCTTCTGTTCTCAACCAGAAAAAAAGGTAGCATGCTATTTCTGGATAGGAGATGAGTCCTGGTCAGAAGCTGAGGATGTTAAGTATGAAGTGATCTTGTTTGTGAAATTTAGGAAGACCAATAGACAGACGGATTTGAGCTTCTTCTGTGGTAATGGTAGTGCTATTTACTTTTACCCAGTGATAATTGGCACTAACTATTTTGACTCCGTAGCTACAATGATGGCTTTGAATAACTGACAAGAAGGAATGCAGGCTGTGCCATCCCAACGAACCACTTGCGACTATCTTCAGTTTGCCTTGTTGATTTGCCCATGTCAGCTCCAGCGAAACCACTTTCAGCCAAAAGGGGATGACTGACTGGCCTTGCCCTTCCCCAGTAATCCATCTAATTTTGTGGTTTGAGATGAAATATAATTCACACTATAATGAAGAGTGCTTCGTTCCCCTTGGGTTTGAGGTGGGGTTGGTTAAATATGTGACATCCTCCAGAAGGCTCCATTTTACTTTTTTTTTGGCTGGTGTACCGTGATAGAGGTTGGCTGGAGATGTTACAATGTTGAGGTCATTCTTACACACTCAAGACTCATTGCATAGAGAGATTCCAAAGAATCACTGATTGCTTAAATGCCAGTTTGAGTGGCAGCAGAAGAAAAAATGATTTTGCTTAAACCTGACTAGACAGCAACACTGTATTTCTGCTCAATATACATTGTGTGTGAACACCACATAATTTTGTATTGTACCTATAGATACAGTGGGGGAAATAAGTATTTGACCCCTTGCTGATTTTGCAGGTTTGCCCACTTACAAAGAATGCAACGATCTATAACTTTAATCATATGTACATTCTAACAGTGAAAGACAGAATCCCAAAGAAAATTCCAGAAAATCACATCATATGAATTTATAAAAATTGATAACCTTCTGATGAGGAAAAATAAGCCTTCTTTGTAAGTGGGCAAACCTGCAAAATCAGCAAGGGGTCAAATACTTATTTCCCCCACTGTATATGGTATTATGATACTTTCTAAATTACAATTCTTAGAGGTCAGATTTGAAAAGACTAACAAGACAAAAAAAAAAACAGTAATATAAATGACTGTATTTGCTCTATATGTGTCATCATGATTATTACTGAATTTATTGACAATGATTGTGTTTTTGTATTCAATATATTACTATCCTTTTTTCATTAATTTTGTATTGGTTGTTTTGCCCTTTAAAGATTGATCAAGGAAAAAAATAGAGATAATTTTTTACCTTTTTAATTTGTCGCTTTTACAACTATGTCATCTTGCCATGCTCCTTCTGACAGGGGACTGCAAATGGAAAGCATTCTAATTTTAAAAATGTTTATCAATGTACATTTTCCATCTCTATTAAAACACAAAATAATCTAATCTAGAGTAGTGGTGAACAAAGTATGAGTTGAAAATATTATTTCTACTTTTAGTAATTCATATTTTGTTTTTTCCTTTTCTTTCACTTTTTCTATTTTTCTATTTCATGAACATGTCAAATAATTAATAAAGCATCTACCCCAAGAGGAAAATACTTTAGTATTGCCTGTGGTGTTCCATGGAAAAAATCCCAGGTGTGAAAGGTGATGAAATGTTTCCTTTTTTCCGTTGGGCATTGGTGAACGTTATCAGACTTCCTGTAAGTTTCCACTGACTCCAAAATCTGAGAAATAAGTCAGCTATCTGGAGTCACTTGACCGACATTCAAGTTGACAGTCATCACCACTCATTGAATCAGGTTTTTGCTCATTTTTTAAAACCTCTTTTGAGACTTGTAGTAATTCCTCTGGTCCGCATGAGTTCTTCCCTCAGCTGTTAATTGTGTTTTTGTTTCCGTAAAACATAACTATAGGCTTAAATCATGAATGAAATATGTTTGATGATTTTTTCGTGTGCTTGCACGTGACATACTTTCACTGGTTGACATTCACTGACTGAAGTTAGGGCAATGTGACATAACTTATGGTGGCGTACCCTTTACCTTCTGATATTTACACAGTGATAAAAACTTGACAACTAAAGCAATAACAACACACCATGAAACCATGTGTATGTGTATTGTAGCTTGTATTGTTAAACCTCTACAAATGATTAAGAACATGGCAGTCTTCATTCAGCCCAAAAAGCCCCAGGTCACCCATCTGTTCATTGATTTTCACTGGCTACCTCCTTAGCCCATCACCAATGGATTGTCGCTCAGATCCAACTCTTCATAGAGAATATTCTCCCCTGTACCCTCCCATCCCCTCTCAAACTTGCTGAATGCAACTGCTCAATGCATATACATAAACCTTACTTATTTGAATTGATCTCCTAAAGATATTTAGTAAATTCTGAAGGGCCCCTTTATAAAAGTAGAATGGGAGACAGACCCATCAGTATGAGGCCCCTTTTTTATGGAACCAGCTCCCAGTATTAGTTGATGCATATGGTTTCTGAAATGTTTGACATCTGAGACCTTTTGAATCAGTTAATGGTAAAAACTTAGAACCCTGTTGTACACATTCAGATATACCTTATAACAACAGGCAGAAGACAGCACAGCAATAATTTTTTTGACTTAATGTGTCATGATATTGATCTAAATAAAGACTTCCAACAAAAAATAGGGTTAAAAGATGGCATAAATTTCTTTTAAACTATATTTTTGTGTTCAAGCTCTGTATCTATTTTAAGGAAGGTCTTCCAGGACTGGTCTTTTGGTGCTCTTTTCTTTTTTCTCCAACCTCTCAGGATATCAGGATGTCTGGTTCTGCTGGAGGTTTATTGTCGATGAAAGGGATCTTTCTTAACAGAACAGAATAAAACTGGACAGCAGATATGATGAAAAGTGGTTTAAACAGGTAGACTTTTTGACAAATGTTAAGAATTTGCATGATGCAAACTTGACTAATTTGTATTTTAAGTAGCCAGTCAGAATCATTAACTGAATTGGATTTATCTTTTAAGAACCTTTTGATTACTTGGATGATTGGTTAATCCTGTTTTTTATGTGGAAGATTCTACTGCACACTGACTGAGATTACTGGTCATACTCTACCAGTTTAAAAAAGAACATTTCAAGTAGTACTGATGGCTTGCATGGTCAAATGTGCTATAATTTAGATATCAGTTGAAAGTTTAATGGCATGTCTTCTTAAATGTACATATTTACTGTAATTAACAAAATATTATATACTGATCAGTCTGGAAACATTTTGTCATCCATCAATTTTCTGAAACCAGTCCAAGTAGGATTGCAGAAAGTCTGAAGGCAATCCAAGCTGGGCGAGAAGAAGAGTATCCTTTTGACACGTTCAAGCCAGTTTTGACTTCCTAAACTGTGAAGATAAGATTAATGGTGTGGGATAATCTGGTCAAATGGTGAGACTGCCACGTTACTGCCAATGTAGCAGCTTCTTGTTAAAAAAATTAGTTCAAAATAATATTTTTCTGTTGGTTTTGTTCAGTAAACCAGTCAAGTCATTTTTCACCCTTAATCTGTTCTCTTCAATCAAAGATAAACCAATGACATGTCTAGGTTTTAGTAAAGCCCCTCCAATACTCATTAACCCTGTCTAGTCATGTGACCTAGGCGGCTGACTTTGGCTGCCATTAGATCATGTCCTGATTTCCATTCACATTGTCCCCTGTCTCGCATTAGATTTTGGATAATGATTTACTTCACTGAAGACTGTTGGGGCAGTATAACTGGTCAAGGGCATTATAACTTACATGTAACTAAAAATCATATTAAAACAATTCTAATTGGCCATTTTTAAAATTCCAGAGCGTAGTGTGCAGTAGTTATGTACAGTTTGCATTCATGTACTTAAGATATATACAACAACTTTTAAATTATTCTCTAAATTCCATCACACTACAGCATATTTCTTTATTTTACACACTGAAGAACATAGTCAGACAGTAACATTTCATCTACAGTAAAAACTTGGTTTCCTACCATCATTAAGGCGCAGTTGAAAAGATAAATGGTGGAGGAGATAAATAGTCTTCAGGTATCAACGTACAAAGAAAACTTAAATACTTAAATACATTATTTTCTTTAAATACTTTGGCTTATATATATATTCACTGGTGCATAAAATATCTATCCTGATGCCACAAGGAGTGCCATGACATCTTTAAATGCATTTGCAGACAATATCAAAAGCAACATTTTACAAGAAGGACGTTCTTCACAATGACTGAAATTCAAGTTGTGACAAACTATAAACATGCTTGCATTAAAGTGCTTTCCTGTGATCCTAAAAGAGATCATGTGACTAAAATAATCTTTAAAAAACTACAAAGATGTATCCGACAAATCTAACAGAAGCACATTTTTGGACTCATTCCTGTTTGTGTTAGCGATAGAGGGCTTTCAAACATTCTCAATGGTTTCTATAGATGGCAGGTTGGATATTGCGCAGTTTGCTTGCACAGCTCCAAATGACGCAGTGTCTGACATCTCAAAATCATACTACACAAGACAAAACAAAAGTGAAAAATAAAATAAATAGTCACACAATAATCCAGACAGCAGATCAAACATAGAAGGCTAGTACCACAAATACATGCGCACATGCTTTTTATATGTGAAGGATTTTTTTAAAGTAAAGAAAAAATGTAAGTAGACGGATCCACCAGCTTTTTTTTTTTTTTTTTTTTGCGTTTTAATGATTTGTCAGACGACATTGATTAAATCCATTACAGAGAGAAAAACGTGATTCACCTCAGCAAGCCTTTGAGAAGATTAAAGTTAAGACCAAGGAACCACTGATTAATATTATTATCCTGTGACTTCTGTCTCTGATGATTACAGATAGAACTGAAAAAGAGAGTAAAGATTGCTCAAAAATATACATCAATATATAAATTAATATATGGGTCACCTGCTATGTCACTTCATTTGTCAAGTATTTCCAGGTATTTTGTTAATTAAAACAAATTATCTCTAAGGATGACCAAACCTTTTAGTTATGAACTCAAAAGCAAAAGCACCTCCAATTAAATACAAAAAATCTTAAACTAATTCGTGTTCCTCTTGTGGACCAATAAAACACTGCTAATTAATGCTTCAAGTTGAAGCATAAAAAGTATCTAAAGGTATGCTATTTTTCAAAAGGTTTTGACTTTCAGAGTTTGCTTATGTCTGTGTGGTGAGGAAAATTCAAGTTCCAGCATGTTTGACGAGTAAAGCTTGGCCCCGGTTACTCTTATTCCACCATCCACCCACCATTTCAGAGACATACTTAAATAGAATACAGTAACTATTGGTGAATGTGTTTTTGTTGGTGCTGTGCTATTGTGTGCTCATATTTGAAACTGGGCACAGTTACACCGAACATTTTGGTCACTGTGGTCTCTCATTTCGAACCCACATTGTAACAGATAATTGCACTGGAAAAACAAATCTGAAGTCAAATGTGTTTCATTTGACTTTTTGAAAATGTATTCTTATATTTGCCAACTTTTATTGGCTCTTTATGCCAACCTCTTGTATGACATAGGAGGAAAGAGAATTCAGTGTCTGAGCCACAGTTAATTGTACCCCAAACACATTTTGAGTACCAAAGTCTAGCGAACAAGCATATATTCATTTGCATAAACATACACATTTGAACAAATGAAAGCTACATAGAATTTGTAATTATTAACTGCTAAGGTTTTTCCATCTATATGTGAATATCTTAGTACTATGTAGCTGAAGGAAACTTTAGTAGTGCTCTCATTATTGAAAAATGCAAGAAAGTTTATGACTCACTGAACATATTTTGCTTATAATATATGTATTCCATATTTCTATGTAAGGTGGCCTTATTTTACTTGCAGACCCTCCAATGAACCAACCCCTTAAAGTGTTAAGATAAGCTAGAAACATTACTAGCAACATTAGTTTTGGTCACCCTCCCTACATGTCCTGCTGTGTCGAAGCACATGACTGTGATTAGGTCAAAGTTTATTAAACTGTTGTCAGCACAAAGTCCTGAGTTGCGGGATAAACTTTGTTAATCACGTGAAAAGGCTAATATTTCAGATTCTGACAGGGCGAATGCTGCGAAGCAACTGAGCGCAGATCAGTGGCTCCAAGGTTCACTTTACCACCAACTGTGTCAGCCAACCAGCCACTCTAACATGAAATTGAAACTGGTCTTAGCTGGACTCAGCTTCTGCTTGCATTCCTTTAAGTGCACTGCAGGCTGACTGTCTTCTTTTCTCTTTGAGTATGGATTTTATGTTCTGAGAATGCTCTTTATCATAGCAAATAACTCAAGGCTGGGGATTTTTAAAAATCTAAACCATCTAAATCCAAGCATGAAACATGAAGTCCATCATAGGTGTGTATTCCTAGTTTGAACAAAACCTTGTAGATTGTTCCAGGAATGTTATAATTCATGTTTAAATGCATAATAACTTCAGAGCTAAGAAGGCAAGGTAAAAGGGTTCATTGTGTCATTCAAAAGGTCTTTGGGAATACATTAGTTTTGACAGAGCTCTAGCTCATGGTACAGCTTGAAATCCACATTAAGAGCTTAAGTGTTTGATCACTGAGAAGCAGGGTAACCACCACTGGAGAGGTCAGCTGGCAGATAAGAACAGATCACTGGATGGTGTTGAAGACAAGACTTAAGTCCTCCATTAACAGGATTAAAATGCCAGCTCAAGGTCTCTTGGTTTCTTTTGAGCATTTAGCAGGGATAACCAAAAGACCATCATTGTATTTTTTAAAAAGGCAAATGATACAACTACAAGAAATACATTAACAGATAAATAAATAGAGATATAGCCAGACTTGCTGTGGGTGTTCTGAGGTGTTGACACACTCATCCGTAACTATGAGGGCTCTTAGGGTTAATGGGGGATGAGTCCTCTCTCCCATTTTGGCCGATGAGTTGATACAGACGATGGCTGAGGTTCTGTACTTGACAGGTCCCTAGAACGCAACCCACTCTCATCAGCTGGGCATTGTGGGGGTAATGGTGACGTCCCCTCAGGTGAGCGTGGCGTCGGGTTCTCGATGCCCTCTGATTGCTCTGCCGAGCCTTAGAGGGCTGCGCCCACGCCAGTTCTGAGTGGACGACTTTCACTCCCGGGTGTCGCAGTAAACGTGAAAGCCATTTTGGGGACTGGCTGGGTGCTGGAGATGCAATAATGCTCTTTGTCTGGCGTCCAGAAGCAGAGGAAGAATCTTCTTCTGGGCTGTTAAGTTGTTTGCGGAGATCCAGACTGAGGACAGAGAAGAAGTTTATTAATTCAAATGTACATCTGACTGCTGAAATTAAGGACAGTGTGTTTCTTCAGGATTAACAGAAAATATGGGATTTCTAATGAACACATGATAAGCAATTTTGTTAGAAGCATATAGAATGGAAGCATATACAATGACAAAGAAAATTCAAGTTCAACCAATTCTGAGCCATGCGGTGGTCATAGAGAGATAAAAAGTGTTTTAAAGTTCTTTAGTTACATTTACCCACAACTTCTGAGTGCTTTGATCAACAAATTATTTTTGTCTGCTTTGTCAAGCACAATCAGCATGCTCATCTCACAATTCGGGAAATAAAAGTTAATGGATTTTTGTTTATTTAAACAAACACACACACTCAGAGTGTGCTTCACTTGTTGTATTGGCTAAGTGTTCGTGTCCCGTTTTTAAAAGCCAGGTGGGTTTCAGCAAACAGTAGCTATGGAGTCCTTCAACCAACAGACCATTTATTCCTTGGATACCAAAATAGCAAAAGCCTATAAATGAAAATACGATACAAACTGGTAGATCAATTTTTGAGATGCTGAAGTTAAGTGAAAATGTGGTAACATGTACACATTAGTACAAATTACGAACAAAATCATTGTTATTTGGCTAATCCATAACAGTAATTAATCATGCAAAGTACTTTGTTGTTTTTAAATTGGTTACACAAAACAGGCTTCCGAGACTGCGGGTCAGTATAAATAACCTGTTAAGATAGTCGTGTTCCTCAGCGTAGAAGACCAGCATGTAATGGTCGCTCAGCAAACAGCAACAACTGACTCGCCATCTGTTCACTGTTTGGTAAGGACAGTTGCCGCTCACAACTTGAGCCTGCAGCTCATCTCTGAACTGTTAGTGCTATCTGAATTTATGCAACAGAGCATGGCTCAAGTGCTCACAAAGGAGACGTGAATGGGGGAAAAAGGATTGGTGCACCTGGCAGGTGGGAAACTGTAAATGGGCTGAGAATGTAAAATGTTAGCATACGTTTCTACTTTTCTGTTAAATGCATACACTCCACCTGGACAAATACAACTGTATTTGATTTTCTGACTCAAGCTGAGGGATTTTTCCACTGCAGCAGTTTTAGCGCAATTTTCCCCCTTGTTCTGAGAGCCAGACACCACCGCTGATGAGAGCATAAAAAGTCTCCATTAGAAATGCTGACGTGTGCTTTTTCGCCACCAACTCTCAGACTGTACTGTGAGCTTGAGATGTGAGACATAACAGCAGATTGCTTGTGCTGTGGTGGGTTCGGGATTCCACTCAGAAATGCGAAAGCTTCCATCTAGTCAACAACTTCAGCCGCTGGCTGACCACCAACAGGTATGGAAACCTGTAGAAGACCTGCTGTTCAGCTGGGGCAGTTGAATAAATAGTTGCGCAATGCCATAGTGGGAACACAGTCGAGCACTATTTCCAACACAGGCTTGTGTGCCATGGTGCCACATCACCAAGTTACACCCAACTGGTTTACAGTTTAAGTTCTATTTGAGAGTGAGGGAAATTTATTCACACTGTAACATTGATGTTTGCCATGAAAAACACTTTATTTCTTATTGTCAAGACTGTATTTAACACGCTTACGATAAATCATTCTACTCTGTCCAGACAGTTGGAGCATATTTTGTGTATTTCTACTACTTTAATTACTGTTATATCATGCCATTTTGCAGTATTTTTAGACTGGATTTAACATGACGTGATCATTTATGTAATTGATATCCTCAGTTTATTCTTTTATACAAGAAAGAACTGTAATCTGCGGTATCACAGACTACAACAGTGATCCAGGAGGTCAAAAGTTTAAAGTGCTAGTTCCTCCACGTGTAAGGTATTTTTGACAAAGGCACTGCATCCCACATCCTCAATGTGCTCATCATTTGGGAAGTGCTACATCCTGCAATTATCATATATGTTATAAGAAGTGTTGCATAAGTCTTTGCAATCATTCTATAAAATAATTGGTTCTTTGATTATTTTTAAATTGTATTTTGACTTCTCCATCAATTTGGCTCTCCATTTTCTTGATAAATGTGGTGCTCTTGGTAAGATCATGTAAACTAAACTTAAATTCACATAGAAATGCTTTAAAAATAAATCCCCTCAAATAAAAACATTAAATAGACTTAAAGAATCTGTATCTTAAAATGCTCATTTGGCCAAACCAAAGACATTTTCCGTGAAGATTTGACATTTTATCTCTAATGAGAAGCTAATTTGGCAATAGGAGCCTAATCCAACACTTTAACAGTAATGGAGATCTTTTCTCCCATCACGGATGTCAAAGGATTTAAGGTATTTCTGGTATTTCATCTTTAAGTTTTTTATTCTTTGCATGATCTTAGCTGGCTTTTGGTAAAACATCTGACTTTTTCAAATTATGTCAAGGGAATTTTACAGTACAGTAAAAGGCAAGGACAATCCTTTTTCCCCATTGTATTATCCAAAAGCTGTCTCCTCTTCTCCTATCAAGGCGTGGAATCAAATCTGCAACCACATATGATGAAGTGTCAGCTAGAATTCCCTCTCTTCAGAGATCAAATAATGTTTAACATAAAATCTAAACCCTACCCATTAAGAGGGCAAAGCTTTGACATTTAGCTGTCAAGATCACCTATGTTGTATCGTGTTCAGGGGCAGTTTTGCTTTCATAACCTCCTCTGTGGGATGCAACTTACACTTTACTTCCGTTACTCTTTCTCAAGAGTAACTGAACAGACTTTGATTACACATGAAAACCAAATGATCAGGTTACAGACTACGCAGTTTTTAGCTCTGAAACCCCAAGACTGCCAGACAAGAAGTTAAAACATTCAAAACCAGATCATCACACACAGTAGGTGTCCTTTCCCAAGATGCTGTCTGACCGGCACTCCCACCACAAGCTGCTCCTCTCTCACGTGCATTTACAGCATAAATGTACAAACAGTTAGGCTTTCAGTGGGGAGTGGAAACCTGCTCTTTATGGATGTGAAGGTTGGAATTTAGGTCTTAGACATTAATCCACAGTGGAATTTTCTCTCTACTTTGTTTCAGCTTTAACCCTCCACACCTTCATCCATTCACCCGATTTAAGCTATATTGACTGCAATACATATACTTCAAAGCAGTCAGAGCCAAAATCCTTGTTTACAACATATATAAGTAAAGGAGATATTGTATATGAGAAGAGGTCCCTCTACCACCTGTTTATAGCCAAAAAAATTACCCTGAGCAAGATTAATCCAGTCTGTTTCTCAGGCAAATACTATTTTAAGATAATACATGTTGGATATCTCAGCCTCTCTCTGCTAAAATCCAAGGATAGGTTGATGATTTAAAGGAGGAATATATGGTTTTATGCTTGAACACACTTAGACAATATATACACAGAGACAGACTTGTCCTGTAATTGCAATCTTATCCAGATGCTAAGAGCCATGTGTAGCGAAAGCCTAACTGCAAATCAGCTTTGGATATCCACTCATCTTGAAACAGTGAGCCGATTCCCTCTTCTATAATCTCTAGTGTACAGCAGCTTCACAGCCACAGCCATATTTAACTTCTTTCGAGGCGGATCCTGATTATTTTCAATCAGGAAAAAAAGCATGTCATGCAAAAAGACAAAGATGGGTATGTGCAACATGTGGCAGAAAAGAACATGTAATTTATCCTCGTTTGGAAAGCATTTGTTTGGCATTGGTCTAGTATCTTTGTGGGATTCTGCCATGTCCTTATCAGGATATGAAGAGACAACGCGAACACAAATACCGAACAGGGAAAGAATGAGAGACATCCAAGCACAGTCCCACTCAGCATCTAAAAGGCCAAAAAAAATGGAGTAATGATGTCTGTGATTATCTTACTGTCAGTGTGTGATGGTAACAGAACATGATGTGCTTTGTGGGCTTAAGAGAAGACAGAGAATCTAATATGTTCTTAAAAATGTGGTAAGACATTTGTGAGTTTATTCAAGTAAGAATTGTGCATCTTGAGTAAGATGTGCAATATCAGAGTCAACTATAAATGTAAAGAGTTTAATTGGATACACTGTAATAAATCATAAAAATGTATAAGATGCTCGATAACTGCAGGTTTTCGACTGTGTAAGTGAACAAGATAAGGAATTAAACTATTTAAATGATTGTGGAAATAAATATGAATAGGCTGCAGCCTTTGTTTCTTGAAAACTGAGAGGCACAAGCTCAACTAAAGTAAGACTGTTGGCTGGTTACTAGGCAGGTTTATGTTTCATCAGCAGGTGTTCAACAGGCAGTAACACACTCTGAAAGGCAAGAGATTTTCATATGCATCCTTGCTCACCAAGTAGAAAATGAAATGCATTTATTTATTCTCATTTGATCACCACTTAGTTAGGAGCGACTCTGTCTGGATATATGGCATCTGGATTCCCAATTACCTCAAATATGAAATATGAGTATCAGATATGATTCTTAATCATTTGAAAATGTATTTGAAAATGTTGTTAATTCAATTTTCAGCCAGAATTTGGGATAAAATTTTTGAATACCCTGTTTTTTCTTTCTTGATTAATTTAAGCTAGTAATTTCTCCAAGTTGCGAAAAACTTTTATCCTTTCTCCCCAAACAACTAAGCTAATCCACAATATCCGGAAAATTACGCAGGGATGTAAACACAAGGCAACATTTTCAGCCCAAACTTGATGAGAATGTTTTTTTAAAAAGGGAGAGAAAGATAATGTTTAGGTTGAACCCTGAAAATCTAATAACTGCCATCCATGGGCCTCTATCTTCAGTCTCTGAGATACATACAGTACGTGTTAATTGAGGTGTCATCAGCTGTGGATCCCAACATCAACCAGAAGAGGGCATCCTTTATACTTCAATTCAACCACACACCACCACAAACGGCAGAACTGGGAGTCCTCCCTCAAACATAAGAATGGGTAGACCAAAAAGTTTCCCAGTGTTTTCAGTGCTCTTGCCTTATGTCTCACTGTAGGACTTTGTGACTAAGAGCTCCGCAAGTTAAAGTGGAAAAGTACAGGTGACAGTCTTTTCCTCATAAGTTCATTAGCAATACTCCGCAAGGATATTTCCAGCTGGTTCATTCATAAGGATAAACTGGTTTCCCCACCTAGTAAATGATACACACCACAAATAATGACAGAGTTGTCAAACCAAACAAAGCTAATGAATAGTTTCCCATGCGGTGGCTTTTAAGACAAAATGGAAGGAAGAGTAAAAACAAAATGGTTGTGAAAAGGTTAATGGATTATAAACATGAAAACACACAAGATGTTCAAAAGTTGCACATTCACTGTAAAAGCAAAGTTTATGTTACAATACAGTGGTTCTTCTATAAATTACGAAATTTAAGAAGTACATATTTCGACCAGGGATGAAACTTAGTGGTGACTATATCTGTAAAAAGACTTCAAAAGCTGTATTTTTTTTAAACAGGAAAATGTGTTACATCTTACCAGAAGAGATATTACCATAAAACATAAGCTCACCATGAACTTCTTAGAGATAGATTTAGGCTAATGATTCTCATAAGCTATTAATGTGTTATTTTAGTCTCTTTTTTGTATTTTTGAACGCTTTTAAAAAATCTAAATATTTCCAATGACATCAAAGTGAAAGTTTTATTTTATCAATGACATTGCCTTTGACCTTGAAGTGTTTTTTTTTTATCTATTATCTATACGACATAACAACTGACGTCTCCAAACGCTAACTCTCACATGACTTGCTACACAAGCAGACATGAGGTCTAATGAGCCAGCCTTCCTGAACTGATCAGACTAGGTGGGAAAAGGTGTACATTCCATTTAATATCGACAAAGTGAATTATTTTCTCAAGCAATTAACAAGTTACCTAGGTTAGCTTAAAAGTAACACCGCTAAGTGTATCAAATGTAATAACGAAAGAGCTCAGGAAACGGTTCATGTTAAATCAGAATTTAAAAATGGCCCCAACGGTAACTGACATGAACGCTACAGGTTAAAATAGCTCAAAGTTGTCAACTTGTTGGCGCAATTTGGCTCCTATTCAAATTAAACGGCCAATACGTAGATCAGACAGGTGCATTCACGTGCTGTCAGACATTAAGGTGCGAGAAATCCTCCTCTGAATAAACTTGTAACAGTAATGAGACGTTTAGCGTCGCCGGGAAAAGTCGTTTTTCTTACCTGTCTGAGTCTGGACGCTCCCCAGCTGGCAAAGCCAACAGCTGCTGGAGGGAAACCAGGCTGATGCAATACACAGTTAGCGGGAGAAGGGACCGCATCTCCGGGACTGTTTCAACTTTACACCCTCTCTCTGAGGAGGAGGCGACCTCTCGGACAGCCAAATCCCAAGAATGGGAGTGGGGGTTTAAAATAAATAAGACCAAAAAAAAAAAAAAGTTTGATAGTCGGTTCAGATGTCCAAGGTCTGCAATTTGGATACGGCAGATGAAACCTTTGAGAGGGGGAAAAAAACAAACAGGTATTACAAGAGGTTTAACCGCCTTTGACTGGGGCAGAATTCTTGAAAATGTCCCTTTCGATAAGCAACTTTAAAACTCTCACAAGCTCCAGTGCCTGCTTTTAACTGTAACTGCAACTTTCAATAGTCTTTTAATTATGGACCAGGTGCTGCCTTTACAACGTTCTAATGACAAAGCCGAAAAAATAGTCAAACCTAATTAAGTACAGGCTAAATATAATTGTGTGGACATTTACATGTACGGATTAGGCTACTGGCTAATTAAAGTCTCGTCTCACCTTCTTATTAAATGTCGATTCAGAGAGTGGATTTAGCCTTAAATTTTTTTTTCCCACGAATCCAATCCTGTCCTTCAAGATCAAGTTCCAGTGTGAAGCTGAGAGCCGGGTGATGCAGAGGATTTAAATAGTGAGTGGGCGGAGTCCACCACCTCAGGTTTGAGCAATATTCAACACACCAATGAAGAATGACTAATTAGTCTGTGTATGTGATATTTCTCACAAAAAATGTATCCAAATTGGAATAAAAAAAAACTTACTGTTGTTTTCAAAGATGCTTATCAACATAATATGCAACTTTGAAAGCAACACATATACTTTTACTACACATGTATATTGCATTTATATGTACTACATGCCTATAGGTTTTGGTTATATTACCTATAGACTGAACAATTGTGTCACAAACTCACTTTAAAGTATCAGGCAACTTTTTTTTTTCAAATCTAAAGAAAGAAACGCGCCATTATGATAACTTTAATCACCTCCGAAGTACTTCATGCTATCATAATCCACCATGCATATACATAGGAATATGCCCCACATTTTCAAGAAATTATCCAGAAGTCGTACCCTCCACCTATCTCTTATCATTACCCTCAGCCAAGTGTGTAAAACAGATAGGAAGTGATGCAGGAATCTTCCACCCCGGTTTTAGTTTTCAGTCATGCACACTCTCCTATCATGAAGTATCACTGATCAGTTTCCTGACATGGACTTTTTTCTTTGCACAGTTTATTACTTTAGGGAATTTTACATAGTAGTTCCTGCTGGGAAGTCAATTATACTTTGGGTGATTCAGCAAGTGCTGTTAAATGAGAATAAAGTTGTTTGCATTCTTTTGCAGCCTTAGCCTTATCACTTCGAGTTAGGTTTTGAATTTCTCCACACAACACCAGTTGTGTTGAGAAAGGTCTAAACATGCATTCTAAAACCCTGTTTAATGCCTCAGTTTAACTTCACAAACTTTTTTGTTGTGGGGAGGAGCTTTGCACTGCGTCGTATAAAATTCTTAATTTCTCTCTGAACTTACTGATGTCATACAGTACAGTATTAGTGAAATACACCAAATTTCGACACAGGGGCAGTTATGCAACATATGTTTCCAAGGAAGAATGACAATGATGTTGTAGAGAGTTTGGTTGCTGGTTTTTTGGGTAGTAGAAGAAAGCTGTGCATCCATGTAGAAGCAGTGATAAAGTCAGATAGAGCAAACAGATGCTTTGCAAAGAATTTAGGGATGTAATGTTTATTTTCTCCTTTTGCTGATGCAGAGAACAACTCCAGCTCATAGGTTTTTATTTCACTTTCTTTATTTGAAGTCTACTTAAGTATGTGGCCTATGTCTTTCAGTTGAAGATGAGCAGATAAATAATATCTTGCATTTCACAGTTATGAACATCAATTTAACCACAGGTCAAAATGTTGTATTACCTTGTCTTATTAAGCTTAAAGAAAGAAAGAAAGAAAGAAAGAAAGAAAGAAAGAAAGAAAGAAA